AGCATTTATTGAGCCAAAATATAATTACACAGTCATTTTTTTTAAGCAAGGAGGAAAAAAGAAAAAGTATGGTTCAGAGAGGAGTCCCATGGCCTCAGAAGTGGTCTATCTTCAGTGAAGTTTGTACAGTTGTAATAGACTGACAAGTGAAGTCTGATGGGGAGAAAAACTCAGCATGACACTTGTACATTACTGGCAGCGGTTCTGTTCGGTTAAACTCAGGTCTTTGTAGAAATGTTTGGAATGGGGACAGGAAGGGGGATGAGCCTCGTTTCCAGCCACATGAGGGGAAATAGTCCTGTTAATGGATCGCTCTTGTGGCACTTCAAGTTATTCTTTGTACTCCCACAGTGAGTACATGTTCAGACCATCAAGGAGGTTTTTGGTTCATTTCCCAGCGAAATGTATCCCACCACACCATTTGTGACAAAATGGTGCATTTGCCTTTTTCCATTTGTTTATTTTTATTTTGGAGACCGGCCCAGTCAGTGGTCTTGCTCTTTTCTTGCAAAACCTACTTCCTGTCCTTGATGTGCTTTCTATCTTGCAGCTTTTTGGGATTGCATGTAATATTACTACTGAATGTAATATAAGTATTGTGTGTCATGTTTTCATTCGCTGTCAAATGACATTTTATACTTCACTACACCCAAAGTTACAAGCAACAATGCAGGACAAACGTCAAAGGAACCAGCAAAAAGAGAATCCGTATTTTTTTAAAAAAGGGTAAAAGATTTTAAAAGATTTTATGAAAATAAAGAAATAAATAAAATAATTTAATAAAATATTAAATATTTTGTGTTTTATATTGTACAAATAAAAAAACTCTACTGAATTTGGATTTTTATAATCAAAATGTGAATTTCAGCAAAATTTAGATCACATTTCACTTTCTCAGCAAAAAGCAGCAGTGATTTAATCAGTATTTACAAAAAGTAAAATATTTACATTTATTTAATGAAATTAAATTGCAGGTATACCCATGTTAAATATTTTGTCCTTTTACATTGTATTAATTAAATAAATAAAAAAGCGGCACTTAATTTGGCTTTTTCGAAGCAAATGTGAATTTCAGGAAATTTTAGATATTTTCTCATTTCACTTTTTCAGGTGGTAGATATAATTGCAGATCACTTGCATACAGCTGAGTTATGTGCAATAGTGGTAACAAAAATATTATAAAAAGGTAGAACCAGAGAAATTGCACTGTTTCCGGGGGGGTGGGGGGGATTTGGTTATCAAAATAAACACGTCATCCAAATGAACTGCAGAACGCTTACATATCGTTTTGTTTTGTTGGCTTTAAAAAGAACTGATTGTGCATTAACAGCTAAAAAGACTGATCACGTATTATAAACATTTAACAGTCCTTGTTTTATTTCATCAGTCACCTTAGGCTGTTTATTTGTTGTCTAAGGTTATCATTTTGGTATCAAAGCCAACATTTTGGTATCGATCCAGCCGCAATACCCTAAAGACTGGCAAGAAAAACCTTGAATACATAAGGATTTCAAAATTAGCAATGTCTGTGTACATGTATATCTGTATCCCTACCAATGTTGAAACTAAATCTTTGTGTTTGCTTAGCTCTATCTATCTCTCTCATAAAGGGACATTTAATTGCATATTTCCTGTTCTTGGCATCGTGCCCTTTACCGACTGTATGAAATGGAGTCATACTGCTGTCTATCTGCCAGCTGCATGAGCTCAGTGAAAATAACAAAAAATTAAATCTCACAGACGCCCTCAACCTTTCTGAGGAAAAACTGCACAGCCTCTGAGGAAAAACTGCACAGCCTAACTTGCAAGGAAAGATTTTCTACAGTGTTTTTTTTCCCCTCTATGAACTAAAATGGGAAGGGAACGGTGACTTGTTATTCCCATAAATGGTCATGTGGCAAGAATGAGTGAGGATATTCGTCATGATTTATTCCCCGACTTCTCACCTTGTGACAGGGGGCTATTTCCATTCTTATCTCAACTCTCACTCGTATAAAAAAAAGCACTCAGACATAAATATAGGCAAATTAAAAGAGTAACATCTGATACCAATTTTCCCTCCAGCTAATCGAAAGAGAATATAAGGTAAATATAACGTCACCCCTTGCACGCAGTTTAAAACTGGGTCGTCATAAGAACAGCTTTAAGCTCACCAAGGAGTCTGTGGGGGTTTGAAAAAAACTCCTTTAGTTCCAGACGAGGGAGATTTCTGAGGATTAGCTGTGAACAAGATAAGTCATTGTGTGCATTATTATACCTCCATTATGTAAACATGAAGTGAAACATTACAGTGGGAATCAGGTATTTGGCAGCTGCCTGCTATTTTGATTTGACTGCGCGGACCGAGCCGTTTTCCACTTTTAGCAGCTGTAACATGTTTAAACTCTTTTGGTAATGGGATCTGAAGATGAATGTTCCCTCTGGGCTCCTGCTTAGCTTTGCCACTGGCCGGTCGCCAAACCTCAGTCCGCATAGTTTTCCCGCACAGCCCTTGTCTGAGCATGCTCAGTGCGTCCCGCCTCTGAGAGCCCCGAACATCCTGGCGTTGAGTAAACATACGGCTACAAACTAAAGGAGATGAATCCCTTTTGAGATACCACCAGATCTTATTAAAGGGGTGATATGACGTTGCTAAAAAGAACATTATGTTGTGTATTTGGTGTAATGCAATGTGTTTATGCGGTTTAAGGTTCAAAAAACACATTATTTTCCATATAATGTACATTATTGTTTCTCCTCTATGCCCAGCCTTTCTGAAACGCGTCGATTTTTACAAAGCTCATCGTTCTAAAAAAGCGAGGTGTGCTCTGATTGGCCAGCTATCCAGTGCATTGTGATTGGCCGAATACCTCAAGCATG